CCTCTCTCTCTCTCTCTCTCTCTCTCTCTCTCTCTCTCTCTCTCTCTCTCTCTCTCTCTCTCTCTCTCTCTCTCTCTCTCTCTCTCTCTCTCTCTCTCTCTCTCTCTTTTTCTCTCTCCTTTTTATTCTTCATCATAGAGGAGACGTTTCTTTCTTTCTGTTTCCCAGGATCAAAATATTGCCACCGGTGGTCTTCGAAAATTTGAACTCGTTGGAAACGTTGAATCTGCAAAACAACAAGCTCGTACATGTACCGGAGGAGGTGACTGAAAATATCGTGGACACGTTGCGACACATCGATATCACGGGTAAATGTCAAGGAGATTCGTTTCCTATTTATCTAGTGCGCGGTTGAAAAGTTTATCAATTTATTTTTCCGCGATACGAAAAATTGGAGTCGTTACGAACGATGAGATAAATGGATAGATTAATAAAAAAAAAGTACGACGAATTTGAAATTACGAAGAGAAAATGAGAAACTTTTTCCCCCACAGACAATCCTCTGGTCTGCGACTGCGAGCTACGGTGGTATTCCATTTGGTTGGGAAATCTACGGGACAAGGATGACGAGAGGATGTCGAGGAAGCACACAGTGTGCACCATGGTGAACGAGAACCGAGAGTATTCCGTTCAGAATATACCGTTGGAGAGAATGGGTTGCGTGGGGAAGAACGCTGGAAGAACCTCGTCGATTGGCACCTGTCACGTTTACACCGACACGATGTTACAATTACTGATCGTCGCCGTTGCTATGCTCTAACTGCGATCGTGTGACGCTCTCGGTTCCCCGAAACGCGAACCCTGAATTTTCGCGCGAAAATTCCCTAAACCGACCGCGTTTCTCCCTCGTTTCTTGAAACCGCGTTCCTCGAATTTATCTTTGTTTTTATTATCGTCGAGCAATCGTGTCACGATCGCGGAGACGTGACACGATTGAACAATCGATATCTACTGATTTCGCGATTTTAAGCTTTAATAACGTTGAAGAAAGAAATATCGAGGAAACTGATCGATCTTACACAACATTGAAATTAAATTATTGTGAGAAAAATTAAAGATCAACGTAAATCAGGCGTTTTTCTCGTTGGAAGATAAATGATTCGTCGGATTTTTAAAAAAATATTTACCGTGTGAAATTTTTGTTTGAAACGAAAATAACTATGTGATTCAGATAACGATCAACAATCGATGAGCATTTTGACGTATTGATCACGATATCGTTCGATCGAAAACTATTGAAGGATTGAATTATCTCGGCGGCCATAATTATCTCGATCGTCTAAATGATCGATTAAATTTCGATCGTAGCGTTCGATTTTGTAATGTAAATCGAAAGCCACGCTCGAAGGATGTGAAAAAGAGAGAGAAAGGAAAGAAAAAAAAAACTCGAACGATAAAAGGGTGAAAAAAGGCCCTACTATGTAGCGTAGTAATTGTACAAGCCTTTTTCATCGAACGTTACATATCAAGATCGTTGCCAAGTATTTTATGGATGTCTGTTAAAGCTCGTGCGAACGCGAGATGCGTAGTTTAATTCGATAGAAAATTCGAATGTCTGTAGTCTTAGCCATTTTATGATCCACGGACATTCATCTTATACATATCAACCCGTTCCTGGAATCATTGAGACGAAGTCATCGGCATTTCTTAATGTTGCACTTCGTACGTCACAGTCTCGTCTAAATAACGATGTAGAAAGTAGATCGTCACTCTTCAATTTTCATTGTTGCTGAAAGTTACGGAGATAACTTACATTGATAACTAACTTGGCCAGTAAACGATAATATTTTTTGTTAAATTAATTTATTTTATTTATTTTTAATTATTATTATTATTATTATTATTCTTTTTTATATACTATCTTGATTACTATTTATTCCATTTATTGATATTTATTTCCAGAAATATAATATTATCAAGAAACTGTTACTGTATCGAAACGATCAAACAGTGAGGATAGATCGATTCAAACGAATTCTTCAACTCGTCGCAGTCTTTGGCGGTGATATCTTGAGATCGTTCAAATGCTTAACTTCGTTCACAAAGGAGCGGCCAGTCGAAATGAAATAACGACTGCTGATAGAACGTAATGTACTCAACAGGAAACCGACACTTGTCAATTCCGGTAGAGCACGATTCATTGAAATGGCTCGTCGCTTCTGTTTTGTGATCTCCACTGTTACTCTAAACGCCGACACTTATACACGCGTCATAAAATTACAACCGCCTTTCAGCAACGCCGCAAGATGAAACGATAAAATGATAAAGTGTACGTCGCAGTTACGCTTTTGCCGCACGATCTTTAATTTCAACTAGATGTTTTTAAGTTCCCCTTCTACACAGCAACACGCGGATTGTGACGTGCGAACACGTAATGCTTCTATCTTCAAGTTGCGAAACGTGTTCGAAATTAATTCGAAACTTATGGCGTGTCAAAGATAATTGTAATATTTTTCGACGGACAAGAGAAATTCGATTGTTATTACGAAACGAAGAAAGTATAAAGACAAATCCTGCACTGTAATATTATATTGTCAAATATAGAAGTATATGGTATAATTTTAGGACTCGGTTACAAGTATGTTGATAAAACTTAGTAAAACACCATCGAACACCTTTCGTACACTATATCGCGTGAGATAATTATTATGATATTGAAAATGCGTTCACAAAACGTAGTATCGTAAAAGCGTTACACAAAGAAAGTAAATTGTGTTTTACTATTCGATAATTAACATAGAATAATAAGAGAGTAATAATGTTAAGGCATTAATATTACGAGTAATACTTGCATACCGAAATTAGGTTAATAATAATGTTACGTCGTGACGCGAACCATCATTCTAATAAAAATCGAAGGAGATCTTGAAAATTTGAATTTGTTTTAAAATTTGTTCTTAAATATATAGCTCTACGAAATAATTTTAATCATCAATCAATTGTTTTGTATAAGATATAGATATTATTATTTAATCAAGTAAAATTCTTAATATTCAATAAATTCCATAAAATGCTATTTTTTTACCATACTCTTGATACTCTTTTATATGAAAATGAAAATTAAAATTATTTCCTTCGATTAAGAAAAAAAGGTTCGTATCAAATCACATAACACACACATATCATTTATACGCCCAAAATTTTACCTGTAAAAAAAATAGTTAATTAAGGCTTCACTGATATAATCTCTAAAGATCGTATATATATATATATATATATATATCGTAAACGTATGAGATTTAAGAGAATTTATTTGTTAATATATATTATATAATATATGTATGTTACGTATATACACACATTATTACGATCATCAAAGATATATTATATACTTATATATTATATATATACATATACGCATTGGATGTTTTTTCTAAGAAGTTTCATCGATATGAAAATATTAAGATGTTATTTACATATTATTGTTACAAGCGAATTATTCGATTATGTATTATTTAATTGCACCATTTATTTGATATTTATCCAATATTAATTTTCCTCTAAAGAATTTTCTTTGATAATAAAAATTTAATTCGAATAAATATTAAGTTTGATTTAAAACGATACGCCAAATGGAATTCTCTGCAGGCCCTACATATAGCTTAGAATCCGCAGGAGGCATATCAAAAATAATTTTTTCCAAATATTAAATTACGTTCGCTTGAACAATAGGATGTGAATGATCATAAGTTGACAAAAAATATCAGTAGATACAGAAATAAAGAAAATAGTAATGTTAGCATAGATGCACTTATCCAGTGAGACAGGAGTTTAGATCCCAAGATTAAAGACTGAATCGAAGGGAAAAAGTAGAAAAATATACAAACATATTTGTTACGATATTAATTGTAATAATACATTCTTAACTTTGTATTTTATTTTATTTATCGACAATAGTATATTTATTTAGGAATTTAAAAGAAAAAAACTTAATTTGATATATTGATAATTTGACATATGATAATTATAAATTTCTTCTTAATTGTATGTATAATTTCTTTATTGATATAGTACTAGTGATAAAGAACACCGGGACTCCTGACTCAATGTAGTGAAACATATCCTTTTTAGGTGATCGTAGAACGATGAAATGGGTTAGTCACTTGCGCATATTCGCGTTGAAGGCACCCAAAGAACCATGTCGAGACATATCTCTGATGGCCGTAAGTTTTAGTCTCGCCGGCTGCGTTGTTATTATTACTAATTATTATAAGCGGTATTTTTGTACAGTGTCTTACAGTGATCGAGTCGTTGTAGGCGCAGCCGACGAGCCATTCACGGCATAGCCATATTATACATAATATAAATATATACACATATTTATTTCAATTATATAGAGCGTAATACTCTGATATTCTCTCTTTAACGTACACATAATACATACAAAGATGCGTATACACGTATAAACGTAATTAAAAAGGATATTAATTTAACAAAACCAAAAAAAAAAAAAAAAAAAAAAAAAAATAAATGAATGAACAAGTAAAACATATAAAGAATATAAATAAGTCAAAAAATCCTCATTACACCTGAAAGACCGTGCTATGCTCTGTTTCCCAAATCTTTTTGTCTCTCTTTGTTTTTACTGTATTTTGGTGGATATCTTCGCTCTAATATATCTCGGTGCTCTCATACTGTCCACTTCATTACTTGTCAGACTCATTTGAACTTTTCTCACTTTAGAGTTATTGCATACGCTGATTATACACATATACAAACATAGACACGTTTACACGAACATACAAATATATAATTTTACAAGCATAGGATACACGTATAATAGATTCTACGGATTATTGTATGTTATTTTTTTTTTTTTTTTTTTAATTTTAAGATATAAGTAATTAATCTGTATAAGAAACACACAAAGATCGTATGAAATAGGAATGAGAAACAAGTATTGGTACACATGCGTGCATTTATCACAAGAAATACACACATATACATGACACATGCACACAGGAAATCCATGCCTAATAAAATGACATATCGGTGTTATAATATATAAATATAAATATGAATATAAATATATAAATATAAATATTATATAAAACACAGATACACATGAAATTCGTCTGTATATGTCTATAAATATTGTTACACATATACATACATACACACACACACACACACATATGGTCATTATAATGATAATGATTACGTGATATGTATTATGAAACATCTTTTTCTCGCAACCAGTCCGCGGTACGGGCATCTATTCAGATTCTAATGTCTATATGTCATTGTTTATTATGTCGTTAATAATTAACGTGTATATGTGAAACTTTCAAAACGAATAAAAAGTACCTAAGCATATAAATATTATATAATTTTACTTCCATTTTCTTTATCAATAAATGAAAACTTGAGAGAGTTTTGAAGGGAGTGAGAGAGGGAGAAGGACAGAGATAATGAAAAAATATTGAAATCAGCGCCATCTTCAGAGTGCCACAAATGAAACATACAAAGAAAGGACAGAAAATAAATAATTGAAAGTAAGAAAAGGATAGTGATAAGGTAAAAAATTGATTATTAACATCATCTTTTAAAAATTAAAGATATCTTTTCAAAAAGGATAAGATAAAATAAGAATTGAAAATCAACATCATCTTTTGAATGTTTTTAAAACTTAATCTATTTTTGAAGAGATATTATATTCAAAAGATGGCGCTAATGATCAATTCTTACTCCATTTCTATCCTTTTCTATCAATTCTCTGTCCTTTCTATATGTGTTTCCTTTGCGGCACTCTGAAGATGGCGCTGATTTCAATATTTTTATCCTATCTTTATCCTTTTCTTGCTATATGTTCATTTTATCTATATTTATTCTTGGCGAGATTGACGAGGTATAAGATGTCATTTTCCGCTATTTTTTTAAACTATAAACTGTTTTAATCTTAATTTTTAAAAATATAAATTATTACATTTTCAACTTTATATTAAATGTTTAAAATAATGATTTCGCGAAATATAACAAAAATGCATTGAATATTAAGTCTTTTCTATACATTGGTATTGTTCATATATATAAAATAAGAGTAAGGTTATTTCACGTGTAACAATTAAATATTATTGTTTTGAATGTTATTAAAATGAATTTGAATTAATATATATATATATATATATATATATGTTTTTTTATTAATCGTGCATTTTAATAAACGATAAATTAATTTGATTAATTACTTAATGTAAAAATGTTATAGTTTTATCTTATAATTTTATCTTTATCTTTAATTTTATTATAATTTTATTAAATATAAAATATTTCATTTTCATTATTATATAATTAAAAATAAAATAATATTTATTTATTTTATTAGTAATATTTATTAATTATAAATATTTTAATTAAAATATACATTTTATTTATTTTAACTAATTTAAATAATTAATTTTAAATATTTACAATACAAAAATTAAAATTTATAATACAATGTACTTTTATAGTAGTAATAATTGATTACACATTTAAAATATTTTATAATTTAATTTTAAAAAATTGTATAAATAATAATTAAAATAATTTTTAATTTTTTACAAACATAGGTAACTTCAATTAATTTTTAAAATATGACTCGATATGCAAGAGCTAAAGGTTCGAAAGCTTCAAATGAAAGAATACCCAATGAAGCTACTCCATGGTATGTAATGAAACAGCAATTAATCGAAAATTTATCTAAA